ACCTTGTCATCTGTGTTGAAAATCAGTTGTTGAAAATTATTTGTGTGGGTCTGTTTCTAGACTCTTCAGTGATCAATATGTCTGCCCCTATACTATTACCACATTATTTTTTAATATATATTTTTATTGTATTTTTTTCTATTGCCACTTGGTATTCCCCTTATAACCTCTTCCACCTCCACCTGCCATCCCAGCCACACTTCTGAAATTTCAGTGGTCTCGAATGCAGGTAATACGAATCCTCCAACTTTGTTCTCTTTTCAAAGTTCTGGCTCTTCTAGATCTTTTGCTTTTACATATACACTTTGAAGATAGCTTGTTAATTTCTACCAAAATCCTGCTGGGATTTCGATAGGTGTTAAATCTAAGAAAATTTGGGGAGAATTGACATCTTAAAAATGTTGAGTATTTAATATATAGACATGATATATCTCTCCATTTGTGAAGATCATCTTTGATTTCACTCAACAGTTTTTTGTGGCACATAGCATACAGATCTTGCACATGTTTTGTTAGATTTGTGCCTAATATTTTGTTAGATTTGTGTCTATGGATTCATGTTTATTGATGCTATTTTAAATGGTATTCCTTTTTAAAAATATTCCTGTTTCCAATTATTGTTTCTGTTACATAGAAACATTTCTGTATTGATCTTTTATTCTATGACCTTACTGAACTCACTTATTAGATTTGGTAGTTTTTTTCCTTTGTGGATTCCTTTTGTAAATTGCTATGTAGTCAGTCATGTTGTCTGTGAATATGGATGGTTTACTTTCTCCCTTTCTAATGTTTATGTCTTTCTTGTTTTATTTTACTGGTTAAGATCTCTCAGTACAATGCTAAATAGGTTAGGTGGAAGTGTAGAGTGGACATCACATCCTTATTTTGTTGCTGATCTTGGGGGAAGTATTCAGTCTTTCACTATTAAGTATGTTAGTTATAAATTTTGTAGATACTTTATCAAGTTGAGGAAGTTTCCTTTCATTTGGAGTGGATTTGATTCTCTAATATTCCATTAAGGCGTTTTTCATCTAATTCTATAAAGGATATTAGTCTGTACTTTTCTTGAAATGTCCTTGTCTGCTTTAGTATCAGAGTAATGCTGATCTCATAAAATGGATTGAGAAGTGTTTACTCTTCTATTTTTGGGAGGAATTTATGTAGAGGAGTCGTTATTTATTTCACAAATGTTTGATCAAATTCTTTAGTGAAGCCATGTGGGTGTTAAGATTCCTTTGTGGGAAATTTTAGGAGTATGACTTCAATTACTGTATTATGTAAGAGGCTATTCAAATTATCTGTGTCTTCTTAAGTGAACTTTGATAGGCTGTCTTCCAAAGAATTTATTGATTTCACCTAAGATTTCAAATTTGTTGCTATAAAAATTTCCATAATATTACTGTATCCATTTCATATATGTAGGATATGGTGTTGCTTTCCTCTTTTATTCTTGCTATTGGTAATTTCGGTGTTAAGAGCATTCTGCCTAGAGATTTATCAATTTCACTGTTTTTTAAAAAAAATATTGGTTTGTCTCATTGAATATCTTTATGGTTATTCTCAATTCCACTGATTTCTACGTTTATCTTTATTCATTTCTTCATTTTGTTTCTTTGGGTTTAATTTGCTGTTCGTTGCTAGTTTTTTAAGGCAGGATCCTGGATTACTGGTTTGAAACTTATCTTGTCTAAAAGAAGCATTTAGTAAATTTTCCTGTAAGCATTGCTTTAGCTATGACCCAAAAATTTTGATATTGTATTTTCATTTTTATTTAATTAAGGATATTTAAAAATTTCCCTTATATTTCTCCTTGACCTGAGGGTTGTTTAGAGGTATAATTGTTTAATTTTCAAACGGTTGTAGATTTTCCAGACATCCTTCTTTTGTTGATTTCTACATCAGTTCTGTTGAGTTTAGAGAAAATAGTTTGTAGAATAGCAGTCCTTTGAACTTTTTTGAGATTTATTTTATGGCCTGGAAGATATGGTCTGTCTTGGTGAATGAATGTTTCATGTACATGTGATGTGTATTCTGCTGTCATTAAATGGAATGTTTTACAAATGCTAATTAGATTAAGTTGGTTGATGGTCCTAGTGAATTTTGAATGGTGTGTTGGAATTAGCCAAAGGAGAAAAGATGTGGATAGGCGCAGAAGTATGATCATAATCCAGTTCATGCCTTTTTAGTTGAAGGAACTAGGCCCAGAGTGATGATGTAACTTGTCTGAAGTCACATACTCGTTTGTGCCAGAGCTACAGCTCTGACTTCGTTTCCTGAGTAGCCTTTAGAGGTAATAGAGTAAATCAGGATGTTTTACCCCAAAGTCATATACTAAATTGGTCTTGACATGGATTTGGATGACAAGGAAACAGAGGAGTTTGAAAATAGATCTTTTCAAGGTCGGAATTTGGAAAATTTGTTGAACTGCTTATGTGGGCCATGTGTAATTGCAGGAGTTCTTGTGCTTAGTTTAAGTGGTTAGAACTTGGTGTTAATAACAAGAATAACTATGTACCTTTTCATTGTTTGGGTATCTTCTTATATTTATACAATCCTTTTACATGCACTCAATGACCTGGGGACTTTTGTGAGCAAGTTTGTTATTTTACTCAGTAAAAGTGAGAAAATGGAAGCCTAGAGAGATTAAGTAATTTGCTGAAGTTTGGTCACACAGTGATTGGGGGATATAGGCTATTGTTGGTTCATTGCTCAGACTATATCTATTATTCATTTCATTAACTCTAGTCAGCTGTCTTTTCATAAAGGGATCAAAATATCAGGTTGTGGTTAGGTTAACAGAGCTCTGTATTCTGTAATCTCCATATTAGTATTCTAGCACAATTGTTGGATCACTAATCTATAATTAATGAATAAAGGATCATACTTGTATACTGTCATTTAGTATAGTTTGTCTATATTTCTTATTAACATAATTTAACAGTGCTGAAATTTACATAACTGTGGAATTTCATGCAGCCTGTTTATTAAGCATGCTTTTCTTTTTCTTTTTCTTTATTAGTTCAAGAACAAAGGGATCTTTCTGAGATTTATGGTTGCCTGATTCTGATACATTATTAGATTTCCCTCTCTCAATATTGTTCTTGCCTAACTTCCAAAAATTACTTTCATTTTCAGTTATCTCTTTTAATCTTTATGACACCTTTATAAGATGGAGCAAGGAACATTTTTTGCTTTTGGCTGATAAGGAATTAAAGAACAGACCATTAATATTGATTAGTTACTATAACTCAAGTAGAGTGCTAGGCACTAGGACTCTTAAAGATAAACATATCAGAGTTAAAGTTGAAAGTATAACCCAGATCACTTGATTTAACATTTTTTTAAATTATTTTTATCCTCATCCAAGGACATGCTTATTGATTTTAGTGGAGAAGAGAGAGAGAGAGAGAGAGAGAGGGAGAGAAACATTGATCTGCCACCTTTCATATGCACCCGGACCTGACTGAACCAGCAACCCAGGCCCGTGCCCTGACTGAGATTCAAACCCGCAACCTTTGGCTTTGCAGGATGATGCCTCACCAACTGAGCCACACTGGCCAGGGTGATATTTTTTAGCCCACTGTTTTTTCAAGTACTAGAACTAAGTTGTCTCTTACTTTTTAGCAAACTAATTTAATACCATCTTCATGAAGCTTATGTCGTGAGAACTTAACCTTCGTATTAAATTTGCCCCCTGCTGTTAGGTTCCCCCCAACCCCAACTGGTATATTTTCTTCTAGTTTTAAAAGTAATACATGTTCTTTGTGGACAATTTGGAAAATTTTGAAAAGTACAGAGAAGAGAATAAAAAATTATGTATATCCTTCTGCCCTTCAGCTACAACCATTGCTAACATTTAGATGCATATGATTTTAATCTTTTATCCCCTTAGCTATATAGGTGTATATAATATTTTGTTTGTAAAATTTTAGTTCCCTTCTTATCTTTCTAATACTTTCTCTTTTCTCTCATAAAAAGAAATACTTCTTGAGATAGATTTATAGTTTTATTATAAATTTATTATTGCAGACTCATCTTTTGGTGGTGGTATATTCAGTTAAGCAAATGATGTGGGTAAAGCAGGAACATGTGATTAGCTTTGCTTTAGTAATAGAGGTAGGAGATAGAGAAGTTAGATAAATGTTCACAGGAATTTTCGGCTGCTGGCTTTGACTACTCTGTCTATAGCTACAGAAAGAAGAGATTGAATATCCTATTCTGGTAATTCTTTTTGTCTTTCCCTACTTGAACCCTCAGTTAATCCTTTACTGCTGAAGCAATTAAACATTTTTCTTAGCCACAACTCTTCCTGATCAAGTCAATCTTTTTTCATGTCTCACAATTGGACATTTTATACTATTTTCAGTTTTTATCTTAGTTCTTCAGTTTTAAAGTTTTAATCCTCTTCCTCTTCGGTGAAGTTTAATTTGATATGGCACTGACTAAAACTTTAATCAGTTACATTTGAAAGAGAATGATACACAGACAAAAATTAAGTGGACATTTAAAGTCTTTAGGGATTAGATATTATCTTTAAACTGTGTTTTTGAAAATAAAAAAATATTAATCTTTTATTTTTTTTCCTAGGGCTGCATGTTTTCTAAGGTACTCTTACAGACTGACTGCATTGTGTTTTCTTTGAGATAAAAGAATGTGTGGTATCAGCTTCTAAGTCCCTCTACTTCATGAATAGTCTTTCCATAACAACCTCAAGAAGTGTTTGTACATGAGAATGCAAACATGAGAATACATGAAAAGACATGAGAATACATGAAAATACATGAGAATGATGGTGCCTGTGATGATTGAGGCCTTTGACTAAGTGGGACACTCTCCGTTGATTACCCGGTCCAGTGATAGGGATTGGTCTTCTGCTGGCCTGTTAGATACAGCCGGCCTGTTTTTCAGCACGGAAGTACCCTGTTTGCAACTGTCATTCTCTGATATTAAAACTTGATTGGAATGAGGAGAACTAATAGTATGTTTTTCTCCTCTCTTAGATTCATGCCCGCAACCAAAATGAAATAATTTTTGGGCTGAATGATGGCTACTATGGTGCTCCATTGGAACATAAGGTAAGAGGATTTTCCTGGTGCTAGGAGTTTTGTTTAGAGTGGGAATGCCTTAACTTACAGGGCAAAACGCTCTGTGTAAACAGAATCACGTTTGAAGTATTATTGAAAACTTGTTGTTCAGTGTGGCTTAGGGTGCATACCTTTAAAATGCAGACTTATTTTGTAACCACCCCAATTCATCTTTTCTAAATCTAAATTATCTTCATTTTCCTCAAAGAAAGTCTGAACCGTTTTTTCTTAATTCTTTGGGGATTAAGAAAGAATGGTGAGTTTTGATTAAATGCAATACAATTTTATTAAATAGTTCAGATATCTAATTTATAACTTCCAATACACCCAAGAAACTAAGGGTCGAATTACATTATAGTTAATGCTATCTCTGTTTCTAAAAGTGATTAGAGGAAAGAGAGGGGAGAGAATTTATATTTACTGAGTACCTGCTATTGATGGTACAATGCCAGGTGATTCATGTTCTTGATTCCACTTAACAGTAGTCACAAACCTTCTGTTAATGTAGAGGTATGTTCTCTACATTATTTGCTCTTAGTGATCATACTGTTTCGTAATTTTGGTTATCTGAGATCCTTTTGCTAGAGTGCTCCTTTGTTTTAACAACTATTTATTGAGCACATGCTGAATGTCAGCCATTGTGCTGTAAGTGCTAAGGGTACAATGTTAAGCAAATGTGTATTTTCCTGTTGTCATGGAGTGTACAGAAGAGACAAACATTCATAAAGGAATCTAACAATAAATATACAAACACAAATGGTTGTAAATGCTATTACCTACTTTAGTGGCTCAAGAAAGGTCTTCTTGGGGTCTTGACTTTTAAGGTTACAATCCCGAGGATCGGGGAAGCGAACTGTATAGAGGGAGTGAAAGACAGCATTGCAGGCAGAGGAGGGAACCATGCCGGCAGGCTATGCAGCAGAAGGAACACGGTGAGCTTTAGGTTAGAGTGATGAAGGAGAATGACACTCGATGAAGTGGGGGAGGTAGGTATGGACCATGTCATACAGAACCTTTTAGAGGATTATATTCTAATGGTGGAGCGTATTGAAGGATTTTTAGCCTGACAGTGATACAAATTTGTGTTTTTATAATTTCACTCTGGCTGTAGTAAGGAATGATCGTAAAAGAGACAGAGTAAGCTTCATCATGCAGGCATGATCGATCATTAGCTCCATTTTCAACTCTTCATCCTTCTTAAGAGAACGGAGGACAGGACTGAAAATTCCAAGCTTCTAATGATGGCTTGGTCTTTCAGGTGACTAGTCCTCATTAAATGTTGACATATTAGAACAAAAGACACTCCTTTCACCCAGGACATTTACAAGGATTTCAGGAACCCTGGGTTGGGAAGCCAAATATTAACACCAAAAGATGCTTTGTAGACTCATCACTTAGGGGAATTAAAGAATTTTAGGTGCTCTGTGCCAGGAACTGGGGACAGAAACTAATTTATATATATTTTATTATCTAGCAGGTACTGTGTGGTACAAATGAATTAGACATGTATTCACAAACAGTTGTTCTCTTAGTTGAGGAGATAAAACTGTTTATATTCCAGAAGAGCGCTAGTTTACAAATAGGTTTAGTTTGAAAAATTGTTTTGGATATCAGTTACTTGGGTTTTGCAGCTAATGCAGATGAATTATAGCAGAATCTTAAATAATTTGAAGAGCACCTTAGGAATAGGTGCTTTTTCAAATGTTGGGGGACTGTAAAAGGAACACTGTTGTAACTTGAAGTTGGGGCGGATGGTGGTTGGTGAATGGGCTACGTGGCCAGGTGCAATGTTTTTTAGGTGGATTTAACTGCAGGGTGGCAATTGGGGGAACAGGGTGGATTGAGAGGCTCTTGGGGCAGCTCTTTATCCAATAAGCTGAAACCCTTCAGATCCAAGTTCAGGAGTTGTGCCTTTAATATAGACATGTAAGATTATCTTTGCCCGAATTTCCTTTTGGCAACTACTCTTTCTAGGAGGATGCTGTCAGCTACCTGCGGAAATGAACACTCCTAGTGGTTAAAAATATGGATTTTGGAGTCAGATTGATGTGAGTTTAATTTCAGGCACTACTGCTGTTTACCTATGAGAGAGCTCTTGGACAAACTGAGTCATGTCTGTGTGTGTGTCCTCAACTGTAAATGGAGATAATTTCTACCTCATCACAAATTGTTTCTGAGGGTTAAAGATGACAATGTATGTTATAAGCCTGGCATATGAATGGTGTTCAATAATAAATGGAAACTACTACTCACTCGGCTTTAAACTTTATGGTAAGGGGGACGACGTCTGTAACGTTTATCTTCCTGTCAACATTGTGTTCCTTTCATCTGGCCTGTAGTGGAGGCTCAATAAATATGGTTAATGAATGCAGCTGAATGCTTGCTATATTGAAGATGCTTGAGGGGATGCTGTTTCTGTCTCCCACGTTACTTTACCTACAGCCCAAATGTTTGGAGTTGTATTTTTATGTAACTCATAATGTCATAATTAGTTACTGGGTTGGATTGGTAAGAAATCTTTTGTTAGACTAAAAGCTATAGCAGCAGTGTCGTCAGGGTCCAGTAGATGGCAGTGCTCTCTCATTTTATTGGGAAAAAATTAGAGCAGGAATTAGAGATGAGTAGAATCCATCTAAAAAGGATCGAAGCTTTTTGGAATGAAACCTGGGAGGTTGAAATAGCATTTTGGTGATTAATTTCACAAACAGCCACATGACTTGATGATCTCAAGTACACAGTCAAGCTGAGATTGAAGATTTAGGGACACAGCAAGTTTCATGGTTTGAGAGCCTGTACAAAATGAAAATTTCTTATTTTATATTTTTCAGTGCATGATATTTTTGAAAAGTAGAAAGCTTGAATTCTAACCCCAGTTTTGTGTGGTACTGACTGTGTTCCTGGAGCAAGTCACTTAACCTCTCTTAGTTTTAGGTTTCTCATTTTAGAAGTAAGAATATCCTGATACATGCTGGAGGGAACACTACAGTTATCTAGCTCAACACCCTTATTTCATGAATGAAGACACTGAGGCTCAGGGAACCTCATCATTTCTTGAGCCTGACATGGCAAGTTAGTTTCATGCTATAGAAAATAACTTAGACATAGCTGTACTAATATCATATGTATGTAATATATAATAGAATACCATCACTACATACTTTCATAACGCTCTTATCTTTAAGAATTTGCCTATAAATTATTTTACTCCATTGTTACAATAGCCTGTCAGGAAGGTAGGGCATCTGTTATTAGCAGTTTTAGTAGTATTAGTGGTAGGCATCTAATAGGTATACGGTAAGTATTTGGGGGACTAAATGAATGGACAAGATATCAGGAAGCATTAGTGGCAGAACCAGGATCAGAACACCTCTCTCTATTTCTAGATAATACACTTTATTCATTATATCATCTCACCTGTGTAAAAGTGATGGATAGATGATTTTCATCATTTAGTTTATTTTCGAGGTTTCTTCCATCATTTAACTTGATTAAAACTATGATTGTGATTATATGTTAGAGACATCTTTTTTAACTTACAACTCAGGTGGTCAAGTATTAGTATTTTCATTTTTAGCATAAAGATGCTGAAACCTAGAAAAATAAAAGAGATTTCCATTTAGTTTCCTTTATAGAGCTGCAAAATTTAAAAGTGGCTGTTTCCTCTTGTTAGTCAAATTAATGGATGCTAACTCGTTTCCAAAGCACGTTTCACACAGTACACAAGCAGAACATTCAGAAATAGGGATTAAGTGTCTCAACAGCCTGTGTTTTAACAACAGAGAACAAGCAATGGTACAATTTTTGTACAGGTCTGAAGCAAAAGTAGGAAAATCACAAAAATAGCTCATTCCTGCACATCTTATTCAGTTTTCCTTGCTCCTATTACAAAATATAAGAAACAAAGACTAGACAAATCCTCAGGGGTAGTTTCTAATGGTTGCCTTCTTTGTTATAAAACATCTAGGTATGTATGAGCTCAGTTTATGTTCAGGGTAAAATTTAGTTTCCGAATTGTTTGAGTTGGTTTGGTATTCTAGTTAACAGTAGGACACCAGGTAGCTATAGAGCTTTTGGAAACTACTATTGCTAGTGTTCACTTGCTGAGTGCCTACTTTGTATCAGATACTATACCAGCTACTTCACGTATTTCTATTTAATCTGTGTGACAACTCCGCAAAGTAGTTATAGCCTCATTTATAGGTAGAGTACCCTAGGAGAGAATATTAAACTACTGATCCAAGATTACATAGCTAGTAAGTTAGCAGATCCATGATTCAAACCCAGGTCTGACTTACTCAAAGACCTTTTCTCTTAACCACTATGCTACGTGACATCTCTACATTTCTTCCAAATTCATATAGCATTTCACATTGTCAAGTCTCTACCTTTGCATTTAACTAAAGATATCCACTATGTGCATTGTGAGAATGAAATGAGAGAGTACATGAAAAAGTGCTTTGAATGGTATAAATTGCACAGACTTTGGGTATTTATTGCAGAGTGGGCATGCAATGCCCAGGAGGCCATCAACCCACTGAAGTCCACACAAGTTCCATGCATTAGTCACTATATTTGGCTTCCCTCTGAGCCTTTTTTCCCCCTCTTTTCTCTTGGATCAAATTAACTTCTGACAGATGTTTGGAAAATCATCTTATCCTGTAATTCATATTTATAAATCCTGCTGCTGCAGTGTGGTCCCCATTCTCTTCATTGAAGCCAGAGAATAATCTGGGAAAATGCCACGTTTCCTGTTATGAATTTGGAGGCTCTTGTCTTCTTAGCACAATTTTTGAGCTTTTCAGAATTTTAATACTGGAAAATTCAAAGCCAAGCTTGGTTCTTCATATAGATATTTTAGATTCTTGAAAAGTAAATAGAAACAGCTTGACTTGTCCTCACTAGAGGATTCAGAGAGTTTAAAATTTCATTTAGTTTAAAATTTTGAAAACTAGTTTTTACTGTTCTCTGTTATATTTGTGATGAGGGCATTC